CCATGGGTACCAGGCACATATTTGGTACACAGACATAATGCAGACAAAATACTTACGAATAAAAGCATGTTTTATGTGTTTGTGTGTGTATGTGTATCTGCTTGAGTGTATGTATGTATACCATGTGTGTGCAGTGCCAGTGGAGGTCAGGAGGACATCAGATTCTCTGGAACTGGAGTTAGAGTTGTGAGTCACCAAGTGGGTGCTCTTAACTGTGGAGCCATTTCTCCAGCCCCAAGAAATATATTTTTTAAACTTTTTCTTTTTCCTTTCTCTCTCTCTCTCTCTCTCTCTCTCTCTCTCTCTCTCTGTGTGTGTGTGTGTGTGTGTGTGTAAGGGTCTCACTGTGTAGCCCTGACTGGCCTGAGAACTTTCTAGGTAGACCATGGTGGCCTCAAGCACACAAAGATACTATGCCTCCCTGCCTCTGCCTCCCAAGTCCAAGTCCAGGGATTAAAGGTTTCTATGCCTGGCTAGAAATAAGTACCTTTTAAAAGTCGGGTTATTTTTTTGTTTGTTTTTTTCTTTTCTCCTGGGATGGGGTCTCAGATGGTCTGGCCTGGAGCTTGCTATGTAGACCAAGCTGGTCTAAAAGCTGTCTTAGCCTCCTGAGTGCTCAATTTGTTTATTTTTATTTTATTTGTGTGATTGTGTGAAAGCATGTATGTGTGTGCACTATGTACATGCCTCGTACCCACAGAAGCCAGGAGTAGACATCAGATCTCCTGGAACTGGAGTTAAAAGACAGTTTTGAGTCATTGTGATCGGAACGAAACCCAGGTCCTCTGCAAGAGTAGCAAATAAATACTCTTAACTGAGTGGCCACCTCCAGCCATTTATTATTTATTTATTTGTTTGTTTGTTTATTTATTTTCAGAGCTGGGGATCAAACCCAGGGCCTGTTCTGTCACCAACTACACCCCTGACCTAAACGTGTGTTCTTCTCTCATATTTCATTTAACAACAGAGGGCTGGGCAGGGATGGAGAGGAGAGCTTGGTGCTGGAGTCTGGCCTAGCACCTGGGAGGCCCTGGGTTCCATCCCCAGGACCAGAAGACCGAAAGAGAAAGCACCGCTCAGAGTTGGAGCTCTGCTTGGTCAGGTGTTTCTGGGTGGTGCTTGCCCCAGAGGGGCTGGGTGGGCTGCTGCCTCCTCTTTGCTGGGCAGCTCATTTACATTAACGGCAGTGCTTGCCACCCCACAGGGTTCACTTTTTTCCTTCTAAATATAAAACATGCTCATTGTAGAAATTCGGGAATTACAGAGTTGTGTTCAGGAAGATGCAAAGAGCCAAGGTCATCTGTGACTTCCCTGCCTACTGTGACCTGTAACCAGCTCAACTCTTTCCTTAAGAGCCTATTCAACCTTGTTTATCTGAACAGGTGACTAGACTAGATCACACTGTCTGGATTTCAGCTGTCCCCAGGTCCCTCAGGTGGCATGCTGACCTCACAGCGTTCCTCTTCCTTTTGGTTTGCTGGCTGACATCCTTGGCTACCTGTTGAAGCCCTTTTCAGTTCTACCCTGGACTTTGGTCCAGGAGGACCCACCCAAGTTCCCACTATGGTCTCCTTGCAAGCTATGTCCTTGCAGCTTCCCTGCCTTTGGTCATTCCTGAATGGCAAATCAGGGAAGTACCAGATGGTCCCATACTGAGAGAAGACACCTTCTCTGGAGCTATGCTGAGTGTTGCTTAGGTCCCCAAGTGGCCCTGCCAGGCCCCATCAGAAAATTTCTCCTCAGTCCAGAGTACAGCCCCTCTGGAGGCACTCTGTACTTCACTCACCAGGCAACACCCTTTTCTGAGAAAAGATTTCTCTGCTCATGAGCTTCCAGTGACAGCCACCAACTCCTCCCGGGATTGGCCATAGCTTTGGGAACCCAACAGTTTTTCCCTGGAATTTTTTAAGTTAGCAAAAGAGGTGGTTCCTTTCTGGTGGCAAAGCTATGAGCTGGGAGGCCATAGCTCTGTAGTAAGAGAGAGTGAGGAGCTCCAGACACTGAGATTATTTGGGAAATCTCCAACTGTATCCAGCTGTGCCTGAAGCCAGTGGTACCCCTGCCTGATGAACAGTTTAATGCCTCCATTCCAGAGGTCCCACCTTTTGCTCAAGTCACTCCATTGTCCTTTACCAAAAGTCTTAAAGGACACAGGAATAGGATAGTCCTAGATGGGTGGAATACAGACCCTCTTCTGTGTCTTCTCTGCCTTTGTCCTGGACCCTGCATAACGATGCACTGAAGGATGAATGTTGCTTCCAGCCTGCCAGCTCCCACCAGACCGTAAGCTCTAACAGGTGCCTGCTACCAAGTGGGGTGACCTTGGATGTGAGTTCTTATTTCCAAAAGGCTGGATCCACCTTTGAGGATGGCTGGGAGACTGAAATCAGTAATCCACAGAGACACTTGCTGTTCGGGCTATTTATTGCTTTGGTGGTGTTGAGTGAAGAGAGCTTTCCAGGGTCTAAGCACACAGTGCAGACAGAGACCTTAAGAGGAAGCTCTTGATGTGCATTCTCTTTCTTAGCTCAGTGGTCCTCACGGATTTTGCAGCATCCCCAGCCCCAGTCTTCTCTGGACGGTAGCTCAAAGCTCCGGGAGGCTCCATAGCTGTCATTCTGGCATCTAGCTCCAAACACAGTTAGAGCCTGGCTCAGCCCTTCCCCAGCATCACAGGCAGCCTTGGGATGTGTGTTTTATGTTGGGGGAGAGTCGATTAGCTGCGGAGGACCAAGGGCCGAGCTTCGGTTCTCTGGATACTGCCTTTTGCCACCACAAGGAGCCCTCAGTCTTCCTATTTCCCTTCAACCTTGCTCTTGCTGGAGGGAGAGGGTCTATGAACCTGACTGCTCCCCCACCCCCATTCCCCGTGCGGAGAACTCCTTCCCCAGTGTTTCTGTGGTGCTATGCCCGTGAGGGGCATCGGTCTCAGAGAGTTCTGGGCTGCCACGTTGTGGGCTGCGCAGGAGGCTCCAGGGGCTGTGAATGGACTGAGAGGATGCTTGGAGATTCACGTGTTGGAGGCAGTAGTAGGGTGGCTGTGGCCCTCAGCAGGGTGCTCTGTGACCGCTGTTTCTAGGGGAGTATCTGTGTAGAGCAGGGCATTAACTCTTTATTTTATTGCTCGAGGTGCTTGGGCCCTGCAAAGATAAGTGGGGCTGAGGGTCCTCTCTGTTGCAGCTCGCTCCTTGAGCTCTTCCCCCAACCGCCAATTTCACTAGATGCCAATGTGTCCAATATGTCCTGAGTTTAAGCTCAGAAAACCTGCTCGGGTGGGGAGAGGAGACCCTTAGTCTGTGGTCTTGCTGATCCCAGGGCCTTAATTTCGCACCCAAACACCCACACGTCTTCACCACACGGGTCCTGGGATGAATGCAAAGCTCCCAAGCCCCTCAGAGGGAGTCTTGCTGTGCCCAGCTCCACAATCCCAACAAAGGCGCCCGACCACGTGCCCTCCTCCACGCGGACTCGGAGTGGGGAAGCTCCACGCTCACCGTCCCTGCTCAGGCCAGGGCTGGGTGGGGATGCAATGCTGGGCCGCGGGTGCGTGCGGAGCCTCCCCCAGCAGCCCGGCCGCCCCCCGCTGCGCCTCGCCCACTCCCATCCCTACACGCTGCAGCGCCCTCCAATTGGCGCTAGGTGGAGCCGTGGCAACTGGCTTGAACTGACAAAATTGTGCCTCCAACAGCTATTTCCTTGGACTTGCAGGGGGAAATGGAAGAGGGGTTTTAAGATGTGCTCCCCCTCCTCAGGCAGCTCTAGGCTCTTCCCTTGGGAGGCCGAGAACACAGGGGTGGTGAGGGGTGAAGGTGTCTTTCCTTTTGGTAACTCACACCTCCAGAGCATTCCTCTTCCCCAACT